TGTTATTTACAGGGGCATTCAGTCTGTATGATGTGGTTTGTTATTTACAGGGGCATTCAGTCTGTATGATGTGGTTTGTTATTTACAGGGGCATTCAGTCTGTATGATGTGGTTTGTTATTTACAGGGGCATTCAGTCTGTATGATGTGGTTTGTTATTTACAGGGGCATTCAGTCTGTATGATGTGGTTTGTTATTTACAGGGGCATTCAGTCTGTATGATGTGGTTTGTTATTTACAGGGGCATTCAGTCTGTATGATGTGGTTTGTTATTTACAGGGGCATTCAGTCTGTATGATGTGGTTTGTTATTTACAGGGGCATTCAGTCTGTATGATGTGGTTTGTTATTTACAGGGGCATTCAGTCTGTATGATGTGGTTTGTTATTTACAGGGGCATTCAGTCTGTATGATGTGGTTTGTTATTTACAGGGGCATTCAGTCTGTATGATGTGGTTTGTTATTTACAGGGGCATTCAGTCTGTATGATGTGGTTTGTTATTTACAGGGGCATTCAGTCTGTATGATGTGGTTTGTTATTTACAGGGGCATTCAGTCTGTATGATGTGGTTTGTTATTTACAGGGGCATTCAGTCTGTATGATGTGGTTTGTTATTTACAGGGGCATTCAGTCTGTATGATGTGGTTTGTTATTTACAGGGGCATTCAGTCTGTATGATGTGGTTTGTTATTTACAGGGGCATTCAGTCTGTATGATGTGGTTTGTTATTTACAGGGGCATTCAGTCTGTATGATGTGGTTTGTTATTTACAGGGGCATTCAGTCTGTATGATGTGGTTTGTTATTTACAGGGGCATTCAGTCTGTATGATGTGGTTTGTTATTTACAGGGGCATTCAGTCTGTATTATGTGGTTTGTTATTTACAGGGGCATTCAGTCTGTATGATGTGGTTTGTTATTTACAGGGGCATTCAGTCTGTATGATGTGGTTTGTTATTTACAGGGGCATTCAGTCTGTATGATGTGGTTTGTTATTTACAGGGGCATTCAGTCTGTATGATGTGGTTTGTTATTTACAGGGGCATTCAGTCTGTATGATGTGGTTTGTTATTTACAGGGGCATTCAGTCTGTATGATGTGGTTTGTTATTTACAGGGGCATTCAGTCTGTATTGTGTGGTTTGTTATTTACAGGGGCATTCAGTCTGTATGATGTGGTTTGTTATTTACAGGGGCATTCAGTCTGTATGATGTGGTTTGTTATTTACAGGGGCATTCAGTCTGTATGATGTGGTTTGTTATTTACAGGGGCATTCAGTCTGTATGATGTGGTTTGTTATTTACAGGGGCATTCAGTCTGTATGATGTGGTTTGTTATTTACAGGGGCATTCAGTCTGTATGATGTGGTTTGTTATTTACAGGGGCATTCAGTCTGTATGAGTCTGTATTTGATGTGGTTTGTTATTTACAGGGGCATTCAGTCTGTATGATGTGGTTTGTTATTTACAGGGGCATTCAGTCTGTATGATGTGGTTTGTTATTTACAGGGGCATTCAGTCTGTATGATGTGGTTTGTTATTTACAGGGGCATTCAGTCTGTATGATGTGGTTTGTTATTTACAGGGGCATTCAGTCTGTATGTTGTGGTTTGTTATTTACAGGGGCATTCAGTCTGTATGATGTGGTTTGTTATTTACAGGGGCATTCAGTCTGTATGATGTGGTTTGTTATTTACAGGGGCATTCAGTCTGTATGATGTGGTTTGTTATTTACAGGGGCATTCAGTCTGTATGTTGTGGTTTGTTATTTACAGGGGCATTCAGTCTGTATGATGTGGTTTGTTATTTACAGGGGCAATTAGTCTGTATGATGTGGTTTGTTATTTACAGGGGCATTCAGTCTGTATGATGTGGTTTGTTATTTACAGGGGCATTCAGTCAGTCTGTATGATGTGGTTTGTTATTTACAGGGGCATTCAGTCTGTATGAAGTGGTTTGTTATTTACAGGGGCATTCAGTCTGTATGATGTGGTTTGTTATTTACAGGGGCATTCAGTCTGTATGATGTGGTTTGTAATTTACAGGGCATTCAGTCTGTATGATGTGGTTTGTTATTTACAGGGGCCTTTAGTCTGTATTGTGTGGTTTGTAATTTACAGGGCATTCAGTCTGTATGATGTGGTTTGTTATTTACAGGGGCATTCAGTCTGTATGATGTGGTTTGTTATTTACAGGGGCATTCAGTCTGTATGATGTGGTTTGTTATTTACAGGGGCATTCAGTCTGTATGATGTGGTTTGTTATTTACAGGGGCCTTTAATCTGTATGACCTGGTTTGTTATTTACAGGGGCCTTTAGTCTGTATGACCTGGTTTGTTATTTACAGGGGCATTCAGTCTGTATGATGTGGTTTGTTATTTACAGGGGCATTCAGTCTGTATGATGTGGTTTGTTATTTACAGGGGCATTCAGTCTGTATGATGTGGTTTGTTATTTACAGGGGCATTCAGTCTGTATGATGTGGTTTGTTATTTACAGGGGCATTCAGTCTGTATGATGTGGTTTGTTATTTACAGGGGCATTCAGTCTGTATGATGTGGTTTGTTATTTACAGGGGCATTCAGTCTGTATGATGTGGTTTGTTATTTACAGGGGCATTCAGTCTGTATGATGTGGTTTGTTATTTACAGGGGCATTCAGTCTGTATGATGTGGTTTGTTATTTACAGGGGCATTCAGTCTGTATTTACAGGGGCATTCAGTCTGTATGATGTGGTTTGTTATTTACAGGGGCATTCAGTCTGTATGATGTGGTTTGTTATTTACAGGGGCATTCAGTCTGTATGATGTGGTTTGTAATTTACAGGGCATTCAGTCTGTATGATGTGGTTTGTTATTTACAGGGCATTCAGTCTGTATGATGTGGTTTGTTATTTACAGGGGCATTCAGTCTGTATGATGTGGTTTGTTATTTACAGGGGCATTCAGTCTGTATGATGTGGTTTGTTATTTACAGGGGCATTCAGTCTGTATGATGTGGTTTGTTATTTACAGGGGCATTCAGTCTGTATGATGTGGTTTGTTATTTACAGGGGCATTCAGTCTGTATGATGTGGTTTGTTATTTACAGGGGCATTCAGTCTGTATGATGTGGTTTGTTATTTACAGGGGCATTCAGTCTGTATGATGTGGTTTGTTATTTACAGGGGCATTCAGTCTGTATGATGTGGTTTGTTATTTACAGGGGCATTCAGTCTGTATGATGTGGTTTGTTATTTACAGGGGCATTCAGTCTGTATGATGTGGTTTGTTATTTACAGGGGCATTCAGTCTGTATGATGTGGTTTGTTATTTACAGGGGCATTCAGTCTGTATGATGTGGTTTGTTATTTACAGGGGCATTCAGTCTGTATGATGTGGTTTGTTATTTACAGGGGCATTCAGTCTGTATGATGTGGTTTGTTATTTACAGGGGCATTCAGTCTGTATGATGTGGTTTGTTATTTACAGGGGCATTCAGTCTGTATGATGTGGTTTGTTATTTACAGGGGCATTCAGTCTGTATGATGTGGTTTGTTATTTACAGGGGCATTCAGTCTGTATGATGTGGTTTGTTATTTACAGGGGCATTCAGTCTGTATGATGTGGTTTGTTATTTACAGGGGCATTCAGTCTGTATGATGTGGTTTGTTATTTACAGGGGCATTCAGTCTGTATTGTGTGGTTTGTTATTTACAGGGCATTCAGTCTGTATGTTGTGGCACCTGTATGATGTGGTTTGTTATTTACAGGGGCATTCAGTCTGTATTGTGTGGTTTGTTATTTACAGGGGCATTCAGTCTGTATGATGTGGTTTGTTATTTACAGGGGCCTTTAGTCTGTATGATGTGGTTTGTTATTTACAGGGGCATTCAGTCTGTATGACCTGGTTTGTTATTTACAGGGGCCTTTAGTCTGTATTGTGTGGTTTGTTATTTACAGGGGCATTCAGTCTGTATGATGTGGTTTGTTATTTACAGGGGCATTCAGTCTGTATGATGTGGTTTGTTATTTACAGGGGCATTCAGTCTGTATGATGTGGTTTGTTATTTACAGGGGCATTCAGTCTGTATGATGTGGTTTGTTATTTACAGGGGCATTCAGTCTGTATGATGTGGTTTGTTATTTACAGGGGCATTCAGTCTGTATTGTGTGGTTTGTTATTTACAGGGGCCTTTAGTCTGTATGATGTGGTTTGTTATTTACAGGGCATTCAGTCTGTATGATGTGGTTTGTTATTTACAGGGGCATTCAGTCTGTATGATGTGGTTTGTTATTTACAGGGGCATTCAGTCTGTATGATGTGGTTTGTTATTTACAGGGGCATTCAGTCTGTATTGTGTGGTTTGTTATTTACAGGGGCCTTTAGTCTGTATTGTGTGGTTTGTTATTTACAGGGGCCTTTAGTCTGTATGACCTCAGAAAGGCATGTAAATAGTAAGAGATAGTCAGACATATTCAGTAAACCTGTTGGAAAGTCTGTAACAGAAAAACATTAACTGTATGAAAACCTAGTAAAACATTATCTGTCCTGTTACAGAATGCATACTGAGAAATGATAATTGGGCATTAAGCATCAGATTTGTAATTTTTCAGCCATCTGACCCAAAGGAAGCTGACAATAAGTTGCTAGTTTTTAAGATCACATAAGATCTTTGACATGACATTAAGGGCAGATATTTTGTAACTCAAACTTGCCTGGAGTTATTTGACCTTACTAGGACCAAGCTATTTTTTGAGTAAGACAAATATACAGCATGGCTGCCATAACTGCCATTTTAAAAACACATTTTAAACCTTCAAGCTGAAATAAGATGGGAAAGTTGAGACGCTGAAATGAAGAAAGTTTTTTTGCTACCTCTACTGTTTGGATCATTCATAATTTTTCACTCCACCACTACGGCTGTTAATTGTCAGATGACAGGCCAATGGGACCCTATCTTTAGAGAATACTTCACATGCCTTCAAATACGCTGTATAATCTTGTGTGTTTTCTCTTTCTAGAATAATGATGGTCGTCTCACCAAGGATGAGTTCAGAGAAGGTTCCAAGTGTGATCCCTGGATTGTGGAGGCCTTGTCCACACCACATCATTAGGATGACCAGTGGCATGTGGATTTTTTAGGCCTTGTCCACTCCTCATCATTAGGATGACCAGTGATCTGTGGATTGTTAAGGCCTTGACCACACCTCATCATTAGGATGACCAGTGATCTGTTGATTGTTAAGGCCTTGACCACACCTCATCATTAGGATGACCACTGATCTGTTGATTATTAAGGCCTTGACCATTCATCATTAGGATGACCAGTGATCTGTTGATTGTTAAGGCCTTGACCTCACCTCATCATTAGGATGACCAGTGATCTGTTGATTATTAAGGCCTTGACCATTCATCATTAGAATGACCAGTGATCTGTTGATTGTTAAGGCCTTGACCACACCTCATCATTAGGATGACCAGTGATCTGTGGATTGTTAAGGCCTTGACCACACCTCATCATTAGGATAACCAGTGATCTGTGGATTGTTAAGGCCTTGACCACACCTCATCATTAGGATGACCAGTGATCTGTGGATTGTTAAGGCCTTGACCACACCTCATCATTAGGATGACCAGTGATCTGTTGATTGTTAAGGCCTTGACCACACCTCATCATTAGGATGACTAGATGTCCAAAGATCCCTGGATTATGGAGTATCAATGATGGAGGCTTCGGCCATGCCTCATCACTGTTCTCCTGGAGATTCTCAATTTACTGAAGGGATTTTCTAACAAGATCTTTTGTTTATAACTAAGGGGAATTTCTGTGCTCTGTTTGCAAGGATATTTTCCTTAGAGATCCTCTGTTTTCCTATTGGATTTTCTTTGGACATCATCTGTTGGTTGAGGTAATTTTTCCCAAGATATCCTCTGTTTATAGATCGGATGATACCTGGAGATTGTCTGATGACTAAAAGGATGTTATACGGGATCCTGTTTCCCTGGAGATTGTCTGATTACTAAAAGGATGTTATCTGGGATCCTGTTTCCCTGGAGATTGTCTGATTACTAAAAGGATGTTATCCGGGATCCTGTTTCCCTGGAGATTGTCTTGATCACTAAAGGATGTTATCTGGGATCCTGTTTCCCTGGAGATCCTCAGCTCCTGGTGTTCTAATTAGATCATCTGTTTTAAATCCTGGGTGTCTTTCATAGCAGTAGCCTTGCTGATATGGAGTTATGACTCTTTTAAACTGAACCAAATTTTAAACCAAATCTCATATAAGCATTTCATTTGATATCATTGTCAGTGTTTTATATGGTGGTTGTTATTGAAAGTCCAGGTTTTCCTGAAAAATTGCAAAGCAGCATTTCTCTATGTTTCTTCATTTTGTGAAATATTGATATCTTTGTACATCATTGTTTCTTTGTCTATTTTTGTATGAAATTTGAAATCTAATCTTCTGACATATACTTGTCAATGTATTGCTGATTCCATGTATTAAAATTTCCTCAAAAGGGCAATTTGATAAACCCTTGGCATGATATCTCATATCCTACATGTTAGCATGACATCAACAATGTGGTAATAGGACATCAAAAATACAGTAGTATGACATTCCAATATAGTAGTATGACATCCATGATATGGTAGCATGACATCCACATTATGGAAGCATGACATCCACATTATGGCAGTATGACATCCACATTATGGTAGTATGACATCCCAATTACAGTAGTATGACATTTCCAATATGGTACTATGACATCCTCTTTATTGTAGTATGATATCCACACATGGTAGTATGACATCCCCGCTATGGTAGTATGACATCCCCGCTATGGTAGTACGACATCCCCACTATGGTAGTATAACATTCTCACTGTGGTAGTATGACATCCACAATACGGTAGCAAGACATCCATTATGGAATATGACATCAAGAATATGGTAGTATGACATTATCACTATGGTAGTACGACATCCACGTCATGGTAGTATGACATCGACGGTATGGTAGTGTGACATTCCCTCTATGGAAGCATGACATCTATGATATAGAAGCATAAAATCAACGATCTCACCACTATGGTAGTATGACATTTATGATATGGTAGCAAGACATCCACACCAGTGTAGAATGACATCCACAATATGTTAATATGACATCCATGATATAGTAATATGACATCACCACTATGGTAATATGACATCCTTGCTATGGTAGAACATTCACAACATTGTAGTATGACATCCACGATATGGTAATTGACATCTCTACAGCGATTGTGGCATTATGATGTCTCCATTGTAACATTATGATATCTCCAATGTGGCATTATGATGTCTCCCTTGTGGCATTATAATTTCTCCCTTGTGGCATTATGATGTCTCCCTTGTGGCATTATAATGTCTCCCTTGTGGCATTATGATGTCTCCCTTGTGGCATTATGATGTCTCCAATGTGGCATTATGATGTCTCAATTGTAACATTATAATGTCTCCATTGTAGCATTATGGTGTCTCCATTGTAGCATTATGATGTCTCCAATATGGTATTGTGATATTCTTGACAACAATAGTATGAAATGCAATAATATTTACAAGTACTTGTATATCTTCCTCCGAGGGTAATATGATACACCTTCAAGGGTAGAATTATGTCCCTTCAAGGGTAGAATAATGTCCCCTCAGGGGTAGAATTATGTCCCTTCAAGGGTAGTAAGGTGCCCATTTAAGGGTAGTATGATGTCTCCTTAAGAGTGGCAGATGCCCCCTAGCTTAGTTTGATGTCCCCTCAAGGATAGTATTTTCCCCAAGGGCAGTATGATGCCCCTTCAATGGTAGAATTATGTCCTTTCAGTGTAAGTATGATGCCCCTTTACGGGTAGTATGATGCTCCTCCAGGGAAGTATGATGTCTCCTCAAGGATACTCTGATTCCCCAAGGAAAGTATGGTGTTCCCCAAAGGAAGTATGATAATATGATGTTTCCCCAGTTATTCTCTGGGTTTTGTGATATTCCCTTTTGTATGGTATCTCCCTTAGAACAATGTGCCCTGTGATGTGCCCTGTGGTTAGTGTTTTGTGCCTTCTAGGATAGTTTATATAGTAATTGTCCCTTTAGAATGATGTGATATGCCATTAGGGTGGTGTAAAGTGCTATTCATATTTTTTATACAGCTGTGCCTGTGTCAGTTTAAGTTATAAAGTTGACTTCTGTTTACATCACATTAATTTCTGTTTGTGGACAAGGTCTAGTTATTTATAACTGTCTGGTGTCTTCATCACTATAGTTACCCGATTCAGGACGATATAGTTATTTACAGCTGTCTTTTGTCTACATTGTCTGGTGTCTTCATCACCATAGTTAATTGTTTGTGGACAACATTAAGTAAATATATCATCCTGGTGTTTATATCAACATATTTACCTGTTTAACGATGAGGTTTAGTTATTAGCTCTCCTGGTCTGAAGGACTGTTGAGCTAATGCCATACTGCAGTGTATGTTGTCCAGGAACTTTTTTCCTAAAAGACACTACTTGTCATAAACAACTGAACAGATTTTGACCAAATTTAGTCAGAAGCATCCTTTGGGAAGATGAACGAATTTTGTATAAGTGATGGGTCTCGGTCCCTTGGTGCCTTAGGGGCTGGGCTTTCAAGGGCAAATTTTGCAAGTTCTTGAAAATCCTACTCTTCCTGTGGAGATGATTGGATTTTGCCCAAATATGATCTGAAACATTGTTGTTACCTGTTTGTGGACAAGATTAGTTTATTTATAGTTGTCTGGTTTCTGTATCACCTTGGATACCTGTGTATTAACGATATTAACTTACTTTTAGTTGCCTGGTGTCTACATCACCATAGTAACTATTTTGAGGACAAGATTAAATTATTAATATGTTTAGTTTTTTGATTGCCAGTTACTTTTTTTCTGGACACGATAGTTTTTTGTAGCTGACAGGTTTCTGCATCACCATAGTTACCTGTTTGTGTACAAGATAAGTTTCTCTGATGCCTGCATCACTTTACCTGTTACCTGTAACTGTCCTGTATAACACAAAGATGTAACAAAATGTCTTAATAAGAAATCTCACCATCAGGTTTAACTAAAGGTCTCACAGACAGGTATATTGATAGATAACAGACAGGTATAGTGAGAGACCTCACAAACAGGTATATTGATAGATAATAGACAGGTATAGTGAGAAACCTCACAGACAGGTATAGTGAGAAACGTCACAGACAGGTATATTGATAGATAACAGACAGGTATAGTGAGAGACCTCAGAGACAGGTATATTGATAGATAACAGACAGGTATAGTGAGAGACCTCACAGACAGGTATATTGATAGATAACAGACAGGTATAGTGAGAGACCTCACAAACAGGTATATTGATAGATAACAGACAGGTATAGTGAGAGACCTCACAAACAGGTATAATGAAAGATCTCACTGGCAGGTACAATATCTCACAGACAGGTACATTTTTGTTGTATAATGAAAGACCTCATTAACAGGTGTAATGAGAGATCTCATCACCAGGTGTAATGAGAGATCTCCTGAACATGTGTAGTGAGAGATCTCATCACCAGGTGAAGTGAGAGATCTCATCAACAGGTGTAGTGAGAGATCTCATGAACAGGTGTAGTGAGAGATCTCCTGAACAGGTGTAATGAGAGATCTCCTGAACAGGTGTAGTGAGAGATCTCATTAACAGGTGTAATGAGAGCTCTCCTGAACAGGTGTAGTGAGAGATCTCATCACCAGGTGAAGTGAGAGATCTCATCAACAGGTGTAGTGAGAGATCTCATCAACAGGTGTAATGAGAGATCTCCTGAACAGGTGTAGTGAGAGATCTCATCACCAGGTGAAGTGAGAGATCTCATCAACAGGTGTAGTGAGAGATCTCATCAACAGGTGTAATGAGAGATCTCATCAATAGGTGTAGTGAGAGATCTCATCACCAGGTGAAGTGAGAGATCTCATCAACAGGTGTAGTGAGAGATCTCATCAATAGGTGTAGTGAGAGATCTCATCAACAGGTAAAATGAAATATTTTATAAACAGGTGTAAAGAAAAATCTCATAAACAGGTGTAATAAGACTACACATAGATATAGTTATCTCTCATAAATCGATATTATGATATTTATTTATTTCTAATGTAGTCAATTGTGATATAGACATTAACGTTACCAGTTCACATTAATGATACCTAATCTCATGTGCTAAAAATTTTATGTTTCCCGATATAACTGCTTGTTGTTAGATCTATCCTTTGTTATCTTATTTAAAGAAGTGTTTTATCCTTGTTGTACAAGCCTTTGTGATATCTAGAACAAATTAGTATATTCAGATGAACAATAATTTTTTTCTGTATTGTCATATACAATAAATTTGCTGATTGGTAAATGATAAAATCGGAGTTCTCATTCATTATCCAGTACCTGTATATAATACATCCGGAATACCCTCAAAAGGAGCAGCCATTTCCTGTGGGATATAGGCCTACATGGAATAGAACAAGCATCCGGATTTCGTAATGGGGATGGAAAAAATATAAAAACTAACGAAAATAAGATTAAAACGAAATTATGATGTTTCCAGCAAAATTACCAACGATCTGCCATCCAATAGCTACTATGTTCTGGTACAAAAGATCGGAATCTGCTAGATTCTCTTGGTATTCTTGTTTCTTCACATACTTTGTGTTAATGAACAAACTGACTGAACCAGATCTTCAGGAGTTTGACACCACACGTTTAATCTTGGTGTTTACCATTCAATATGACATTTTTACTGGCACCAACGCCACACAGTGGACGTATACAGAGGAATGGATAGTAAATATCTTGATGTTTGTCATTTGATAAGACATTTCTCTGGAATTGATGCCACACAGAGGATGTATACAGAGGAAATGGGTGGTAAATATCTTGATGTTTGTCATTCGATAAGACGTTTCTCTGGAATTGATGCCACACAGAGGATGTATACAGAGGAAATGGGTGGTAAATATCTTGATGTTTGTCATTCGATAAGACATTTCTCTGGCACTGACGCCACACAGAGGATGTATACAGAGGAAATGGGTGGTAAATATCTTGATGTTTGTCATTTGATAAGACGTTTCTCTGGCATTGATGCCACACAGAGGATGTATACAGAGGAAATGGGTGGTAAATATCTTGATGTTTGTCATTCGATAAGACATTTCTCTGGAATTGATGCCACACAGAGGATGTATACAGAGGAAATGGGTGGTAAATATCTTGATGTTTGTCATTCGATAAGACGTTTCTCTGGAATTGATGCCACACAGAGGATGTATACAGAGGAAATGGGTGGTAAATATCTTGATGTTTGTCATTCGATAAGACGTTTCTCTGGCATTGATGCCACACAGAGGATGTATACAGAGGAAATGGGTGGTAAATATCTTGATGTTTGTCATTCGATAAGATGTTTCTCTGGAATTGATGCCACACAGAGGATGTATACAGAGGAAATGGGTGGTAAATATCTTGATGTTTGTCATTCGATAAGACATTTCTCTGGCACTGACGCCACACAGTGGACGTATACAGAGGAAATGGGTGGTAAATATCTTGATGTTTGTCATTCGATAAGACATTTCTCTGGCACTGACGCCACACAGAGGATGTATACAGAGGAAATGGGTGGTAAATATCTTGATGTTCATCATTCGATAAGACGTTTCTCTGGCATTGATGCCACACAGAGGATGTATACAGAGGAAATGGGTGGTAAATATCTTGATGTTTGTCATTCGATAAGACGTTTCTCTGGCATTGATGCCATAGATATTACATACAGTTCTTCTGTGTCTGAGAAAAAATCCTTGATTACAAAATCTTCCTCAAAACAGATGACATAAGGCTGACATGCTGATGAATTCAATCCAGACTGCATTTCATTTGATCAATTTATTAATGCAAATGATATTATATACAAGTTTTGAAATAAATATTACATATAGTGTATCATGGCCAACATTGTACATGTGTAACATACAAATGTAAATCAATATTTCATCACGACAAATAAAATGTTACAAAACACAATGGCCTACCTATACATACATCCAACATCCATGTATACAACAATGCTACGTAGCACTCACAGAGGCCCACACGTATCTCAAATGTGTAGGACAGTATAATGTAACAAACACAATGCCTTAAGTGTCATGAAACAAACAGAGCCAGTACAGCACATAATGGCTAAAACATATGCATGTGCTGCATACCAACATGTATCATACAGACATCTACATGTATCATACATGTATCATACAGACATCTACGTGTATCATACATGTATCATACAGACATCTACATGTATCATACAGACATCTACGTTTATCATGCATGTATCATACAGACATCTACGTGTATCATACAGGCATCTACGTGTATCATACAGACATCTACGTGTATCATACATGTATCATACAGACATCTACGTGTATCATACATGTATCATACAGACATCTACGTGTATCATACATGTATCATACAGACATCTACGTGTATCATACATGTATCATACAGACATCTACATGTATCATACAGACATCTACTTGTATCATACATGTATCATACAGACATCTACGTGTATCATACATGTATCATACAGACATCTACGTGTATCATACAGACATCTATATGTACCATACAGACATCTACATGTATCACACAGATATCTACATGTGATATGTAATAACACTAAACACAACGGCCTTCATCTGTTTTGTACGTATGTATCATTACACTTATATCTACCCCTTCCCTGAACCTGAGATTTATCCACTAACTGCTTTAACTACACATTGATAAGTAAAATGGCTATGTCTACATCTAATTCCTGATAACATTTTACCTGACCATTTTATAGATATTCCTGATTTTTTTTTTAGCTGCCTTTGCATTACAGTTTTACACTCCCCTGAAAACGTTTAAACAATAAAGTTTATTGGAGTCCTTAAAAGTTTTAGTCTGAATCTGTATCAGCTTCGTTGGTCAACTCCATTTGAACTTCCCTTCGAAGCTTACTGATCTGTCCTTGACTATATTCTCGCTTCATGCCTCTGGGAAGTCCACGACAGGATGAAAGATTTATGTACTCCAAATCTGAACAGTTGTCCAACAGCAGTCTGTGGTGTGAAAATGATAGGATGTGTTAATCTTGTCATACATATAGGTGAATACTGAAATTTCACTAAAGGTTAAAGTCCTGGATTTGAACCAAACCTGTTCAGATAACTGCCCACATTCTACACCGATACTATTATTGGGAACTAGGAGACCAGATAAGACAGAAAGGAACACTGGATAAATAAATCAGAAAGACTAAAAGGAAGGCCCTGAAATTTTCAATCTTAATGTTCGGAGAGATCTAATTCTGATATACTTACTTGACTGTGGTCAAAGTGACTGCAGTTCCAGCAAAGTTAATCCAGCGTAGTTTGTGTTGTGTTGTGGTGGGAAGACCCACATACACCTCAAAAGCAGCATCCAGTACATTGTCTTGGAATGTGTTCCACGACAGATCCACTACCTTAAGACTGTGACGCCACTACAACATCAAGTTCAGTCTATGTTTACATTTATATTGGTCAAATGACATCAATGAGTTTTGATATGTTTAATTTCCTTTTAATTTCAAATTTAAAGAAATAACCATAAACTAAATGTCTGTTTCACATATGGCATTCCTGTGTAATTTTTTTTTCTTCAATTGTCATCAAATTTTTTCAAGTAATACCTCTGAAATTGAGTCAGTTCCTCAATATGCATACATGCATCAGTTATACCCATATTGTCAGTTCAATTAAAAAATCACTGAAGCATGAAAGCATATACACTGTTATGTGAAATTCTTTATAGTATAATTCACAGTTATTTACTGAAGGATGTTATTTTCCCCTATTTTGTGGTACATTAAAGTGATCCAAAATTTAATTTGTAAAACTATGAGACAAGTTTACACAAGATGTCATTTCACAACCAGATTGTGAAATACCCGGTATTAATTTGTTTAAATATAATTGGTTGTTGTAAAAAAAAAAAAAAACACTAACATTTTGACAACTGAAATTTGAAAATTACCAACTGTACATTGACTAGCAGCTTTTGTTACCTTGTATCATTTTGAAACAGGATATGAAATAGCATCTGCTGTCATTTTAATAAACTTGACTAAGGGTGGGCTAATTAAATGGCAATAAAATATTAATTGTTAAAAAAAACTATTAACATATTACACCTACATATTGTACATGTGGGATGAGAAAACAAGCTTAAAGCTTTCATCACTTAAGTAATTCCTTTTCTTTGTAAGATCAATGCTACAAATGAAACATGTATTTGAAAAGTAAAGAGAGTATTAAGAAAATAAGGTCGATCATTAAATTACTCACACTCAATTTTCTTCTATGTCAGATAATTTTTTTTAAAATTTGATATTCTCCTATTTGGTAAAACTCCTTTGTACACTTGTCTCCCTATGTGTAACACCCTCCCCTTTCTGATACCAAAATTCAAAATTCTGTTGGACAAATAGTTGTGGAGTCTTTAAGTGAATACGGATGTAGTAGAAAGGTAACATAGGGTGGTTAAAGTGTATTCATCTTACCTTGTGTAGGACAACATCCACGTTGTTGTTGCGGGAGGCGAGAGAGGTCATGGACAGGTAGAGTGACTCCAGGTCAGTCACAGGAAGAGAGGCTAGACCTAATGTCGTGATCTGACTGAGGCCTCTCAGATCAAGCAGACGTAAGTTATAGGAAGATTTCAGGATTCTGTAAGGCATTATATCATGACATGACATTTGAAATTTATCTGATCAAAAACGAAAAATTAATAGGGCTAAAAAAATCTCTGACAAAAGGTGTTAGATGTGAAGCCTAAGGAATCCCAATGTTTGCCATTCAATAGTTGAACTACTGTAATTTTGGAATAATGTAAGTCATTCCTATCTAATACAGGGCAATGTCTGTCTACAAAAGTAAAAGTACACCAAATCATACTGTAACTCTGGCAAATACTGGCTAGAGAGAACTTCTCTTTAGCTCGAGTGATAGAGCGTCAGGCTTGCTAGTAGGCCTGGGGTTTGAGGTTCGAATCCTAGTGGAGGCATTGAAATAAATAATGACTTTCACAATATCTTGGTTTATACCAAGAAAATATTTTTATAGTAGACATGTATTTATGAAATGGATTGTCTGCTATTGGATGTAGGAAAACATTGGCATAGCTGTTATAGAATTGATTTAAAAATTGATACTGAACTAGTCACTGAAAGGCTTTAAGATACAAGTGGAAGTTTAGAGATATGATACAATACATTCTATGCATGGGAAAAAGTGGACATACCTTTGGTAGAAATTATCATGTATGGCAAGACCTGCTCCAACCTTGGCTGTGTGTACAGCTAGACTTAACTCCTCCAGTTCTGGGAAGCCTGGAGACTCATTCTATAAAATTACAATACATTGCAGGGTAGCGTATAATACTGTATACAAAACCAGCAGTTAGAATTCAAACATTCTAGAAGTAATACTAAATATAATACAATGTATTGGAAATCTAAGCAGACTGAAACAAATCATATCCATAATGTGATTGAAGCAGTAGTTTAACGTTACTGGAAAGTTACCTGTATTCTCTTGGATACTTCTGGAGCTCTGAATTTTGAGTTTGCTAATCGAAGAACTCTCATTTTTGGGCATGCATGTTGAATTTTTTCAATATCAAATGCCATGAAATCTGAGGAAAACCGCACATTAGACACATCCAACAACTGAAGATTCGGACATTTCTGAAAATAACAATGCCCTGTATTAGTTCATCAGTGATATCAGTGAAAGATAAGTATTTTTGTGATGCCTTGTATTGATTTCAAAATAAGAAAACGAAAATTGAAAACTTAAAATATTTCAAATTTAACAAAAGCATTAGAAATAGGAAATCAGGGGATACCTAAAAAAGACAATATCTATGTATAATTTATTCTTCATTTCTTCTCCATAAATTCCTAGTCTAGGATCTCTTAAGTATAGATGCGATTGCTATGCCATAGACAGGATTGTGAAAGGGTGTTAGCAGTACTGAAATGTAGAGTGTGGATAGAAGCATACTTGTCAGTTTTGGTATAACCTAATATGTCTATTTTCATACAGTATTATACAGTAACAACTCTTTAGTTCGTTTACTAGACTCTCTTGAATGCTTTTTTCAACACCAGGAGATACTGACTAGAGGTAACTATACACTCTTGCATATGTCACCTTTCTATTTCTAAACATACGATAGATACCAAACTTCTAATAATAAACTTTGAAATTAAAATAATTCTAAGCATACCTTGAAGACGAATATCTCACTGATAAACTCTGTCCCTAACTCATCCTTATTATTCATATAATAAGAGTACTTCAATGGCTTACATCACACTGTTAAAATATCCGCCTTCCTCCTCACCTCATCCTAATTCTATATATCCCTTGATAGCTGACATTATACTATTACATCCCCCCCACCCCCACCTCATCCTTATTCTAAACATACCTTGATAGCTGCCATCACATTATTGAATCCAGTCAGGATGTTGCCACCTACATTGAGCTGCCTGAGGTTTTCTCCACATTTTTCTACCAGGGCTTTGAGAGCAGGCACTTGGATCTATGGATTAAAACAATAAACATCGAGCTCGGAATGTCGCCAAACATATACATATCAATTTGGCGGGTCAATATCGGAATTCAAATGAACATTTGGATGATCTCTAGTATGAAATATTCTATTTCGGGTTTTTCACACCTGGTCAATATATTCCATCACTAAATATCTCACCGAAGTCAAGGTCATAGCAGTCCACATGAGTTCAATCTCTGGTATGGGAAACAATAGAGATCAAGCCCCTTGTACTTTATGGCTTAATTACAGCAACTTTAGTCAGAAATTTAATCTGGTGCATATGTAATGTTAACAAACAATAAGTGTGAATCAAACTATTGCTACTTGACATGCAACATATTTTCTGACAATGATGAAATATTTATAGCTAAGATAGTCAAGTTATAGAGTTTGTTTTATATTGATATCATCTTTTGAAGCATAGAAATTAAAATTTTAAGAACCCTGTTTGATTTGAAAAAGAACCCCACTTGTCCTGTTTTGTGTGAAGATAGGATAATTCCATCTATTTCCTTTTCTTTTTCACCTATGTTAAAACATGAAGATACGAGGCAGATAGAAATGCCTTATATAACTAATGAATATGCTACTGTCTGGTTACACTAACTATACTTAGAATATGATTTTTGCTGTATCATGCATATAACATATACCTTAAGTATGATGTTCCGACAACAAGTACTGTAGGAGAGCCCAGACAAGATAACGAAAGCATGGACGGTCACAATGCAGAACTATAATCTCCATGCCCCTACCCACCATCTCATGGAGAACTAAAAACTATCCTTTTAGGCAAAGTAATCAATTCTAGTGCTCTGATGTTACAAGTAGTGCATATATATACCTAAAGTGCTTTTATTCTGAATTTTTTGTATTAATATAACTTAAATGAAAAGAAACAGAAATAAATGGGTGATTCTAGCTGACTGAAATACTCACACATGAGAAGGACACATCTATGTCTGAAAGGCGACTACAGTGGTTGGCTAGAGACATCCAGCCATCTGTGTTGACTTTGACACAGTAAGATAGATTAATACTGCTCAAATCACTACATTTCACCATCAGGTCTTTAAGAGCAGCTGAGGACAGAGACTTCCAGCCTGACAGGTTGATTTCCTGAGTATGTTCAAGTCTGTTATCACAAAGCCACTGAAGTGTTCTGTCTGTTGACTTGATCCAGCCATAGGATAAGTCCACACTTCTCCACAGGGACTGATGGGTACAGAGGTCTCGCCACAGGGTACACACCTTAGCTGCCCTATCAACACAAGAATGACAAATACAGAGGTTATGCCACAGGGCACACCCATTAACCGCCCTATCAATACAAGACTGTTTGAGTATAGAGGTTATGCCACAGGGTACACACCTAAGTTGCCCTATCTACACCAGAATGAGTACAGAGGTAATGCCAAAGAGTAAACACCTTAGCTGCCCTTGCATCAATACAAGAATGATGAGCACAGAAATCATTCCACAGGGTACACTCCTTAGTTACGTTATAAAATACAAAACTGATGAGCACAGAGGTCATACTAAAGGGTACACACCTTATAAATTAGACACCCTATCAAAACAAGACTGGTAAGTACAGAAGTCAATGCCAAAGGGAACACCATAGCTGCATGCCCTACCAAACAAACAATACTGCCAAGTACAAAGGTCTGGTCATAGGGAACACACACAAGCCTGCAGTACAGACAAAACATATATGGATAGACACACCATTTTCTACTGTGACAAAACAAAGATATACATTTGATATTTTTTCATCCCATTCTCAAAATAAGATTCTTTCAAGGTTAAGGATTCTTTTATATATCAACATTTGAAAAGACATACCTTGTTTTTTTGTACCAAAATAAACATATATATGTTACAAAATGGCTGTACACACAAAAATTAATCAAGTATCTCTGATTTATTATTCAAACAAAGCCACCAGACAAGAAAATACAATTGCACTATACAGATAGATACATGTATCAACAGTACACTTAAATTAAGTATTTCTCCAGTCTAAAGGGAACATACTGAATTCAGCGTGTTAAGAATGACTTACTACAAAACCATACAGGTGGAATATTTTCAAACATCAGAATTGTAATCAGTGACACATGGTTTGTATATGATGTATATTAGTACGAAAAACTATTTACCTGCACAAAAATGGCAAAGGACCGCTAGTATTGACTACATCTTGAAATATTTTCAGCCATATTTCAGACGGAAGGTTAGGGCAGTTCACACCGAGCACATTTTCAGCAGATGCATCTGATGGGTGCGCCTTTGCGGATGAACTGGATTTGACTCTTTTTGAACTTTTCTTCACATTTGATCTATTTCTGAAAAGAAGTTAATTAAGTTGCGGTATTAATATATTATTGCTGTGACTTTTGTTCCAAACACAATTATTACCAATAACACACAGTTGAAATTTTTCATTACAAGTAAAGACTATACACAGCCATTACAAACTTACCACAACCAATAATGTGTGCAGTTCTAAAATTCTAAATCAAGTTCATGCACACCATCTTTTGATAAATTAGATGCTATTTTTGCAGAACTAGTTAGATTAATGAAACAATAAATTATAAAGAAGTTATGCACCTGTAGTTATATTTACAATAAATAAAAATTTTGATACACATTTTTTACTTACACAAAATAACAATGCCTAATCATGATTTTATCTATAATTCATCTGCAGTGGAAAGTGAGAAATAGAAATACAGTACTGATCTAGAGAAATTGATCAGATTCATCACGTATTATACATATATACCTTATCAAGCAGTTAGATGATGTGGAATATACCCTCCCATTTATTAATGGAAATATGTGATATATATATTTGGCTTGGGATTTTCAGCCTTGAATGAAGTCATATGAACTAATTTAACTCCTGAAATGTACTTACTTAATGACACTTAATGATTTTTTTCTGGATCAGGCCTTAATTGACCTCTATTCCAGACTCCTCTAGTTTTGCAAAGTTTATTGGTGTGCCATCACTCCCAATGGTTGCTTCACAATTGTCATACAAGATGTCCTGGTTTGCACAATATTTACCCAATCAGTTCTTAAAAGTTCTTTGATGGTGCAATTACGATATTTTTCAGGTAAAGAGTTCATGTGCCTGAAAGCAAACTGGTCTTGCTACATGTACACAAAAATATTTTTGTGTTAAAATGTAATGTTTGTTACTGAACACAATTTACCTTGTAATCAGCAATCATTTACCTGTCCTGATTGGTGACATTACATGTCTTACCTTTTGTTTGTTGATTTATTTTTAGTGTTTGGTTTAATTTCGTCATCACTTGGTTGATAGTCGGAGTCACATGAATCACTTGATGGCCATTCTTCTCCTTCCCTTACTTGGAATGAAAACAACATCAAATTCCTTGGGTCCTTTTTAACTCCAAAAATTCCTTTTTCATTTCGTTTCATTTTTATGACAGGTTTATGAAAATTCTTTCACTCTCTTCTTGTAATAGCTCAGAATAATTGAGTTTTACAACACAATTATCATGAACGCTGCAAAAAAAACAAAAACCAATTTGTGAAATAAATCACACGAATACTGTGGATTACATTATATAGAGTCATACATGCGAGTGTGATATTGATATATCACATCTCTCATGAGCAGCCATTGGTTAAGCTGTTTTACATCACCCAATCAGTGTGACATATATATCCCTAACATCAGCAAATTTCTATTTATAGATCTGATGTCGGATTTAGTACTAGGATATTTATATGTGGGAGAAGCAGACCCGTCATATCGACGGAACTAATTCAAGTTGTTATGGAGGACCGGGTTTAGATCTGGTTATTGTCATGTTGATAATATTGATAATGATACTGCATTCGCCAATGTTCTCGTCAAATACAGGTAACCACACAGAGAAGTAACGCATGTGTTGTCGGGAGCAGAGAAACCTGGATATTAATTGGTATATTCGATAGGGATGAGAATTAGCTATGAGTAATTACCATGTTTTGTTTGTGTCGCAAGTAACATCGTCTTAGCCCCGCTCACGCGTGTTTTACTTTCACAACAGAGCGAAACAGCCGCCTTTTCGTTCATCGGGATATTTAAACGCTTAATAGTTTAGGCACGCAGGCAAAAGTGTTTAAAAGACCAAGATTTAAGGTTAATGCTATTTTGGAAACGTACACGTATCAAATTATCCGAATGGTGTGAGGTTTTTCAATAAGCTGCTTCAAGTTAATGATATTTACGTTTACATATTTAATTTTCATAGATTTTAATAAAGATGTGGGCTTTAAAATAAATATCACATTTTTAGAGAAGAAAATTACACGGATTTATTAGTTATATCTTTGTTACTATCTAAATCCGTGGTTATGTCTAAAGTACTTCCGTGATAAAGATATGTCTACGTATGTTAAATGCTTTTGTCCTCCTGCTATATCTATTATTTAAGCAATAAAATGCGTTTTTTTTAGTAATTGCAAGTGACCTTACGCTGATGGAAAATCAAGGACGGTTCCAACGTCTCTATGCAAATGCAATGAAATCCGCCAAGGTTTCATGAAATATTTGCCAGAAATTGATCTAAAAATGGCTGCCTTGAAAATAACAAAGAATGTCCATTATCACAGGAAAATGTTTGAAAATGAATCATTTCCTGCCAAGTTACACAAAGTCAGACGCCTTTATCGAAAAAAGTGCATCATCATTTGTATTTTGTCTTTTACATTACTTTCTTGAATCTAACCTACCAAAAACACTGAATTTACAATTCTCCGTGGAAAGGACACATTTTTACATATATATCGGATGTAGATGGTTCATTACCGCTATCGCTGTAGTTCTTTAGTCTTTCCAATACGCAAGCGTCATGTAAGTTGTGGGCGCATTTTATAAACTTATTGTCAGCTCGAATTTCTTGGTATTTTACAGGTGGCAGCTGAAATTAATGCATTTTCATTTATTTGCAGTCGGTATTCGGTTACATCGTATATCGGAACGAAAATCCGTAATGACAGCAGCCGAAACATTAATTGTGTGACGTCACAATGTAGTGGAACCAGTAGCAATTATGCTTTCATTTCAATGTAAATAATAGTCACAGAGTGGAAATACATTCTGAATGGAACGAGTTCGTGCAATAAATCTTTTTTACATTTGAACGACTGTATAAGTAGTTTTCTTGTTTTCTTCTTTCTCCAGACCTTTTCAGCAACGAAGATCACATTGAGTGCATGGGGGATTCGGAGAGAAAAATGTTCTTTTTACTATTATCATTATATTTTAGATTTAACATAAAACTATGTACAATGACGGAATTAAGCGTAGGAGGGATTTGACAACAGCTGGAGTCAGATGATCTTAAAATTACTACAGTAACACTGTCTACAATGGCTGCAGGAGGGTATTAACTTGGACAAAGAGTGTGGTTATATATAATAGGATATCTCTTGTGAATGACGGACAGTGCGGTACATTCACTAGGGTGGAAAACCACCAGTCAATATGCGTGTTACAGGATTCTCGTATCATTGTCTCATTTATTCATTGTAACATTGAATCGAGATTATTTGGCCCCAATTTGCCTTTTACTTTAGGATCTTCCATGGGAGAATTGTAACCCGCCTTAACCAGATATGAGATTCCAGAAATACAATTTCATGCTCTGCATGGCCGTTTAGAGGAAGGCGCTAAATTTGTTGTCACAGGATGGATGACAAGTTGAGACCAAGTCGAGAATCTTGTCGAACTGCTTGCTTGCACGACTCAACAATTTCGGGAACTCTTAGCATCTGTAATCTGCCCACAACAAATACTAACGACCTCTGCAAGGGTCGGCATTCACGCAAAGTTTTATATAGTTTACAACAGCGAGATAGTTATAAATCACACATCGATGGACAGATGAAACATTTTTCTACCAACATGCATATGTATCAAAGCAATTCAATGATTTAAACAAAGTATTTACACTCGTTTTTTCCCCAACATATTTACAGTGGCCGCCAATATGCGGAATCTCTCTAGACTTTTAGATGTAAATCCACCCTTTCTGGCAATATCGCTAGAGTTTACGTTTTGGTAGGTTTACATTGCAGCCACAGGTTAGTGTAATTTAAAGTTATATAAATATTAATTTGAGGAGAGGTGGTTGAAGGGACCTTTTTAACCGAATGACCATCATATTGGTAAGACATTTAATATAATGGAATGGTTTGATCAGGTTGAAAACGTAGTTGAGAAAAAACGTGGATGAACACGCGGATATGTGAGGTGGTAGTACGTGAATTTGTCTGGCTTATCATCCATGAATAGACAGGATCTGTTTGAAGCTTTGTAACTAGTGATTGCACATCACCGCATGCGGGAGGTCCGTCACGTGGGTTTTCATAATGAACAAAAAAGTTGTGTTCCCATTAAAGTTTAAGATTTTGATGATATCTCAATCACAGACCAAACAGAAAAAATGTCAGTGTGGCATGATTCTTATACAGATCTATACAATGTCACTGATTTTAACTTAACTGAAGTTGTTATCTCCCTTGGTCCACCGATTTATGAAAATAGTGATGAACTGAACTCTCGTATAAAAAGGAAAGATATAGAAACTGCTGCTTGTTGATATTCAGAGCTCGGTATTAGATATCCCGGCAAGTGTAGATCTTTTATCTGATGTTTTAAAGTTTTGTTTTATAAATGGTCAGGTTCCTGATATTTGGGGACGAAGGGGACGAAGTATGATAAACCCTGCATTGAAAATAGGGAGAGACGCACTGTCACCTTTAAACTGCACAGGGATTTCTTTGATATGTTTTATGTAAAATCTATGCTGATATTCCAAATTAGCGTTTATCCAATTGGTTCGCGACCAACGATCTCCTAGTGGAGGAGCAGAACAGTTTCAGGAAAAAACCCAGAAGTTGATCACCCGTTTATTTTATATTCCATATTAACTAATAGGAAAATTATGAAATAATCCGCGTTTGTTTCTTTGATCGACATGAAAGAGGCATTAGTTAATGTTAGACGTGAACTTCTATGGGTAAAATTGGAATAATTGGGTATCCATGGCAACTGTTTATAAACCATTAAATCTTTGTATTATAATGTCCGGTCTAGTATGAAAATTAACAGATACTGTTAATGTGAAGCTAAAGTTGAAAAGTGTCACCAACACCTTTTTTCATTGTTTAATTGGTGTAAAAAGTGGAAATTGTACATCAATCAAGAGAACTAATATTGTACATTTTAGAAATCTATATGTACCTCTGACAAATTATGACTTTCCTTGTGGTAACATATACACAGACAATAAAGTTTTTGATTATATGTATCTGGGTTTATACACTTTTTATCCAGGAATTTTAAAATCTTCAATTTTACTCATCAGGAACTGTGTAAATCTGCATGTAGAACACTCGGCTCTCTATTCTGTTCCAAATATGTACATGCTGGATAAATGCATTATGAAATTTATTGTAAATTACACACTTCTCGGATGGAACTGTCATTTAAGGGTGTTGGATATTTTGGGGATTTAATAAATACGAAGAAGTGGTCATAGTTCAAAGTAAGGTCCGTAGAAATTTCCTTGGAGCTGCTGGAAATGGAAGTAATACAGCTCTTCGTGGCGATATGGAGTAGTATTCGTGTGAAGTCAGACAATTGGCAGATTTTGTTTTATATTATTTATATGTATCAAGAATTGTGATAAGGATAAAATACGGCAGTCAATTCATTGGTGGTCATGTAGCATTACAAAGTGCTGGGACTCTAGTGTTATGGGCCTAATTTCAGATAAAAGATTAAATGATTTAGTAAATATTAATGTTTCACCTTATAAATGTATTACATAGATTTAAAAAGTTTTTAATGATGACAGATAACGATAAGTGACGAATGTCTCTGTGGCATGATGTTAATAATATCAATGGCAAAAAACAAGACGATACCAAGAAATCCAAAAACTCAAATTCAGTAAAACAAGGGCTTGACATGAACAAAAGAACGCCGAGTTATATACAAATACAGTTTTTGGGAAAGAACATTTTTATATAATTAATTATGTACAACGATTGTACAAAAGACATAACTGATTAGCAACTTGTATTACAAATTTAGAGTTAGATACAGTAGAGTCAAATAATAAATTAAACTGCATCATACAGCTGTTTTTTCCTTTTAGGCCCCGTCAATGATGCTGCAACATGCAGCTGTTTTGTCCTTTTAGGACTCGTCAGTGATGCTAAGGGCCTAAATTTTGAACCCAAGGAGGCGACTGAGGAAAACCCAATGTGATCGACAGAAAAATCAGAATCTAGATGGGGAGGTGCGTTAGCCCAATAATCAAATATACTTCGTAATTTTCATACAGCTGATCATCATAGAACAACGTCAAGTACAGGTTATATTCAGAACCGTTGTCATTAATCGGTTGAATCTATACGTGTTGTGCAGGATACGGCGAACCTCGGGGAATAAAATCACTTTCAAGAAAGAAAAAAATATATATTATCGATCACATACAACGAAAACTATCGGAATAGAAAATACATACAAAACTTATTATATACGATATAATATTCGTGGTTTGGAAATCTAAAGTGAAAGCCAACCACAGGTCAGCTTTCCTCGATCCTGGTTTTTAAATCCAAACTTCACACTTTACAAGACAGATATGTTATCATACCTGAAGATAAGGCGTCCCATAACTTTATCATTGTCTGCAAACATTATTTCATTTCCTGTATACAGAAAGAAGTAGACACCCTTGATAACGACGTGAATAACGTCTATAAATTATGCAAATTTTCCAAACAAGAAATACTTACTAATCATGCTTAAGAATTGCTATCATTTAGGTTGCCTATTGATGGTATAGGGGAGTTTTCACTCCGTACTATCGTCATATTGATCACATTTAGAAATATTCTATTTCTTTGTATGATATGGAGTTGGATGTGTTTGATGTGGCGTTGTTTTTGTTTGTTGGTTCCGTTGTTGTATATCTTGTTAACAACGTGACATTACGTACTTGGATTGACCAAG